CCCCCCCGACACTAATGTTGAAAGAGATCTGTTAAGGAAAGGCAAAGGCCAGTCCTCGGCATGCAAAATGCAGCGGAAGACATACAGGAGAGGGAGATGGAGGAGTTACAAGGCTGACAGTTTGCAAAAGGCCGACTGACTGACCTTGCCGCTGCCCTTCTAAAGGGGATCTTGCCCCTCTTCAACGTGCCTTTTCTACCCCATCCCCAGCAGTGCCACTGGTACTCATCAAATCCTGATGACCTGGTTCGGTGAGCTAAAACCACTAAGAACTAATCCGTTTTTTTCTTCTGCTGCTGCTAAAGGCTGAGCTTTCTACCAGTTTAACTCCCCAACTCCACCTCACGTGAACTGCTAGGTGACAGCCAGTGTCAGTTCAAGGCAAGCAAGAGCAGCGTGCAGCCAGGGGAGCGGGGACACTCTTTTTTTAGCAGCTAAGAGCCCAAATTAGCTGCGATGTCAAACCACACCCTCAGGTCTCTGATGGCTGGGGAGACTAAAGACATGGTGGAGAGGGCAAAGGAGAGACAGGAAAAGCGTGAAATCAAAACAGACCCAAGGATAAAGAGAATACGCATACTAGATGCAAAGTAGGGGCTGGACTGTGAGTGTTGATCGTGGGAACAGATGGAGAGATAGAGAGAGAAATGACACCCATTACGCTCAAAATCGTATGTGTGAGAGAGGGGGAGAGGAGAGGGGAGGGGAGAGACAGAGCGCGGTGGGAGAGACGGAATTCGCAAGACAGGAAAAAGATTTGCAGAAAATAATGGTTTAAGAAAAACTGGGATCGGAACCTACTGTTCACTGGAAAATCACAGTCTAGTTGTATCAGCGTGGTTAGAAAAGAGCGATCCTTTGAAAAAGAGCTCAAGACTTCCTCTTTTAACGTTTGGCGCTTGCAAGGATCACCTGCCCTTCGTACATTGCATAGTCACACAAAAAGAGTTAAAAGGTAGAGCGTGACATCGGCTTGGGCCAGCCCAATAAACATTTATTGTATTCTCTAGAAAGTATCAGCTAGAGCCATAACATTGCACAGAATAAACTAGAGCCAAATCAAATAAAATATTCTTCCCGTTCTGCGGAGGATCGAGGTGCAAACAAAAAGACTTTGATACTTCCATGGCTCTCCATTGGCACAGGAACCAGAAAGGAATATTCATTAGATCTGACTATAAATGTTTGTCTCGTGTGGGAGGTCTTAGTATAGTAATATGTATTAGAAACTTGATATTTTTCCAGTCAAGCCTTTCCACTTCTATTTACATATATTTAATTGTAAATATTCATTTTCCTACCTGAAGCACTTTAAATAAATGTACAATAAACACATTCTACACAGGAGGGGAGCAAATAGCTTAGGGGACTTGTGTTCCAGCCTCCCCATCGCTGGTCGGGAGCAACGCAAGATGATCCCTCCTCACAGCTTGTGGGGGGTCTCGTAGATCAAGTTGGTGATCTCACCCTCATTTCTCCTGAACCGGGATCCTCCCCCGCAACCAATAAATCATAATTGACGCAGACTGGCATCTGTGCCAGTAGAAAAGGCGACGGCTGGCAAGGAGATGCCCTCTCACACACAGAAGTGGATTTCTTCAGAGCACAACCAACCTCAGTTTGCAGTCGTGGCAATATACGCTTACCTTTTCCGAGCACCAAAACGCGCGGGCAATAGAACTATGTCTGCTCTGTAACTGCAACTTTATTTAAAACAGAACCGCGTAATGCACAGAAACTCACAGGCGAGATGCCGCCACCTGGCCTCAGCCAAACAGTGCTGTTCGCCACGGTCAGCAGCGGCAGCGCTGCCTTCAGGGGGAAGACGCTTCAGGCCCTTGCAGCGGCGAGGCGGCAGGGAGCCTGGAGCTGCCGTAGCTCTCCCCGAGAATCCCCCCGGTACGCGGCAGCCTTCAGCGGGCACAAACCCACACCACTTACACACCAGGGCTACCGGCGGACCGAAGGGGGGCCTTTGTCCACTGCTGCCACCTAATGCATAGCTGTCGTAGGGTGCATCGCGAGTTCCTCAGATGTATGCAAGAGCCCCAGCTTGTGACAGAAAACTTTTTTTTTTGGTGAAGGAAAGCACGTTTTAGGAAAAGAGAAAGTTTTCCAGTCAGGATGCGCAGATCGAAGGCAACTGAAAGAAGGCTGGAAGCTATTCTTTCAAAAGATGAGGTTAACGAAACCAAATCGATAAAATGGGTAACTGTGTGAGCAAGCATGAAAAAAGCAAGGTCTTACCAGCTGGTCTCACAGAAGATGTAAGTTAGGATGAAGAGATAGGCTTTCACATACTCAAGCCACTCTTTGGGCATGATCCAGAGGCAGTAAGCTTCAAGCTAGAGTACAGGTAAGTAAGAAGCTTTGTAAATTAGTCATACTCGAAGACTCCCCCCAAAGATATCCTGTACCGAATTAACTGAGATCTTGAACGTTATTGCAGTCATACTGACCTACTGCTACAGCACGCATTAATGATTTAATAACATAAAATTGGTGAGCGTTGGTTATGAAAGAATGCTAATAGACCCGGGCAGAAATGCATGTCCTTTGTACCGCTTACCATGAGAAAGTGATACTTAATTGCTACAGTTACATGAATAGCAAAATTAAAATTCTGTTTTCAAGTCGTCGGATTTGATGCCAAACTAAGAGAGGATAATGTTACCTGTTGACTTATGGGGCAATCTGGAAAAGATTAAGAGACAACATCTTATGCTTCATATTTACACCCAGATTAACTATGAATTCATTTTATGAATTGTTGTAGGGTATATTTATAAGGTGAAATTAAGATACCATTTACCTTAATACCGACAGATTGAAGTCAGAGGGACTACAGGAAGTAAGAAAATACTTCTGGAGAATAAAACAAACAGAGTGCCTCTTCTGAAAGTCACATACAGTTTTTTCCGCATAGATTAAAACTTTTTATCATGACAGATCATAAACTGTGAAGTAGTTCTTGTGTCTATCGGAAAATTCTATTTTATGTGTGAATTTCATGTCTTATACATGAGGACAGATCTAACTCTTCTGCTGCATTATTGGAGACTTATCAAAAACAGGATGCTTTTTTCTTGAGAAGATGAAAAGTACAGAGATAAGCAAGGAAATAAAGACTGAAGTTTTAACCAATAATATTTTTGTGTGGTTATCAGAGGAATGTAATAATTAATCTTTTAATCATTCTGAAGATTGTGTGAAATCATAATATCTCATCTTTTCCAGCCTCAACCTGCCATTCTTGATCTGAATTACAAACAATAAGAAAGGAGATGATTTAATGAGCAACTTTGTCATGTTGCCATTTTGCCTTAGTCAAAGGCAAATGTCTAGTTTTGCCTCTAAACTAAAATGGAATAGACTTACGTTTCAACTATGCTCGCAACTGAGGCAAACGTGAATGGAAAAGTTAGGGCTATTTTAAAGCTAGAATCCTGGTGCCTTCACATTTTCACAGAGACATAATTAAACACACACTGTTAAGAAGAAACAAACATTCGTTTACTAGAAAATAAAATCCCTGTTGTGAAGAAACGCACATGCATGAAAAGAAGTCTAAAATTTGACAAATACTAAAGTAAATCCAAAAAGAAAGATTTCAGTCACAATGGCAATAGGTATGTTCATATTATGAAGGAAAAAAAAAGTCAGCATGATTTAATCATACTCAATAAATAGGCACTTCAATAAAGTATATATTTACACCGGCTTTCTGAATGCTAGGGCATCACAAAGTACTATGGCTTTATTACAATGGATGGAAGATGGCAACTACTTAGAACCCAGTGCCAACATGGATTATAACAAATCCAGTGAGTATTTTGTTTTTCAATTATTCATAGAAAATTTAATCCTGATTAAGTATCCTTGGGCAGGAATTCATGGGTAGTTGATGACTGAAACCAACATTTATTTGAAATGCTTCTGTTAATTTAATCTGTGTATATGGCTTAATTATGATTGAATCCTCAATGTAACAGAAATGAATTATATCAGGATTAAAATTCTAGTACCACATCACCCATTCCATTTTGCCTTTTTTTTTTTCTTTAAAAGATGCAAGCCTGCTGTTTTAATTACCTTTATGTTGCTATGTCTTCTAAGCCTCAAATGCTGTTTAGATCTTCATTACTGGATGAAATTTTTAGTTACATTTATTTCAAAAAAAAGGCAGATATAAACCCTATTTTCATTCCCATTAAAATTTTAACCAGTATGAACATTAGTTGCAAAAAAGGCTTTTCTTTTACACCAATAATAAAGGAAAGTTTCTTGCAGTCAGCTGTGAACGTTTTAGATGTGTTTTCTAGAGGACTCTCCCTCTTTGGTTTCCCCTTCTTTTATACTTATACATAAAATGCATTTTCTCTAAAGCATGAAAATAAAAGAACTTGTACTCATCGTTACGCATCACACCAATTTCACAACTGGCCTATTTCAGACTTGTTTGAGCTTGTAGATGTTTTAAGAACTACATTTTGTAAGACCTTCAAACCCAGTATTGATATAAAGTAAGGATATTTTTTGTGGCTGTGAATGGTAGAGAAAAGATTCATTGTACTTTTCTGTGATACAGCTCAACACCACATGCTACACATAAACAATATTTATAAAATTATTCAAATTCTGGACTTCCCACTCCACAATACTTTTAGCAGATTAATCTAGGGACCTTGTCAGATCAAAGGTCTGTGAAGTGCTCTGATATTATCACTCAGTTTTCCAGTGAAACCAATGTATCACACACCTGTGACAAAAATACCTGTATATTTAGGTCATTATTGCACATTTATTACATAATGTATTCTTCCTAAACATCTCAGAAGTGATGTCGATTTTTATGTCCAGAGGATACTGTTAGTGGCAATGTCACTGATGACAGAGAAGATACTTCCCAATATAGGCTGTGAGATAGAAAAAGTCTGTAGAGGATAACCATGGAGATGCACTGACAGAGGATAACACCTATGGTAATAATCTAGAGACAAAAAAAGAGAGAAAAGGAAAAAGTAAGTGAAAAAACCCCAACACCAAACAATCCAAAATACATTTCTATCAGCATACTGTGTCGGTGCTTGAGGTTTAACTTTAAACCTTTTAATACAGCTGCAGTTACAAAAGATTTGAACGTGAATCTCAAGTCCAGGATTCAGACTCTCACACCTGGGTGTTTTTAAATCAGTGGATAGCCCTGGGCAAGTCACATAACCCTTCTGGCGGTCTCTGTTCTGGGGAATTTCAGACTCGCAATTCACCACCCATGCAGTTTCACAAGCAGAGGTGATGTTTAGGTATTCTATTCTTACAACAAACAGAGCAGGGAAAAAAAAAAAAAAAAAGCACGAAAACACTGTGCACTAGCACAGTCA